CCGGGGCCATTTTTTCCGGGGCCATTTTTTCCGGGGCCATTTTTTCCGGGGCCATTCTTACCGTACACCACATCGATGATGCACATCTATCTACCTACCCAATAAATGTTCTCCCAATTTATTGAAAAATTTTTACTGGTAAATTTGTCCATAAAAAGTCAGCTAAGTGCATGCAACGTGAGGTGTTGCCTTTTTTAAGTCAATTTCAATGGCTTCAAAATGCAATTCATATAATCATAGCCTAGGCCTGGACTGGAATGATGATCATTTATTGAAAGGCCAGCCTAGGCTACCTAGGCCTAATAAGTGTTTTTGTTATTCTATTAATACACAATTTTTACTGGTTGGTCAGTTATTTTTACTGGTAAAATTGACAGCTAAAATGGCTTCGGGAGAAAACTGTCAATGGGTGTTCAGTTTTAGTAGGGCTTATTATACTTTTTTAACATGATAATGCAAGAATAAGCTTTCTAGACATTTCTACCATTTAATTGATGTGTTTAAAACTAATATTTGTTTATGATTTTGTTAACTGTGGGTATTCATGGTTATTGTTGTAATTATGGCTTTCTCTTGGAAAGAATAGTGTGTCACAACTCTGTCTAGAATCTTTTTCTTCCCAATGGTGGGGGTGGAAGAAGCTGTCCCAAACTACTGGTACCATGTGTCACTGTTCATGGGTAGGCTTCATTTAATATATTTTGCATTTTAATCTGCTTCATTTATATTCAGTAATACAATAATATACTTCAACACTAATAATTGAGATTTAAGCTTTTGTGTGTACAATCCGATGGCGTAACCAGGGGGGGTTTTTACGATGCCTGAGTACACCCCAGCCCCCTCCCACCCGCTTTTGTTGAAACGATAACAGATAATATTAAATTAATAAATGGCAAAGTAAGTTAACATTAACAACCAGTTATGGTGTAGTCAACATCAATATGCTCTGTCCCTAATTTTGTGACTTGCCTAAAGTTCAGTGGACGTAACATTTCTATTCAGCATCCCTTTTATCAAAATCCTAAACACACCATCCATGTCTTCGAGTTATTTTACAAAAAAGTACAGCTACTCATAATATTTACAATAGTTTTTTGGATTTTTATTAATTTTTTTTCTTTTCAAATCTTTATTTCAGCAATCAAAAGCCATATAAAATTCAAAATACAACAATAATGTTACAAATGCAGAAAACAGAAATAGAGCATCATAAAAATTCAAAAATACTGTATACACTAAACCCTGAGGATTGTCATCCATTTTGAGTGAAGCCCTGATTCTCTAACACATTACTGATGACGGTTTTAACTGAATTGTTTGTACTCTTTTCCAATTTACACATAAAGCATGTTTTTACAGTTATGACTTTCTGCATTAACAAGAAGCATTTCATCTAACAACGATAGGTTGGTCCAGAAAGCACACGAACACGTACACAATGCTTGTCCGACCATCTTACTTCATTTGGTAGCGGTTTTTCGGTGCCAATGAATACTGTTAATCTGGGTCAATCACCGTTTTCAAGTCTGAATGAGAATCCAGTGGTCTTTGTTTTCATGGTATGTTGTATGATGCTCTACCTGACCGTTATCTTGTGGGCAAGGAAAGCAGATCAACGGGATCTAGTCATGGTAAGGCTACATTTTATATTTAATTTGGACAGAGATGAGAGATGTCTTCTTGAGAATATAACCAGTTATATCTCAGTTACTATATAGAATATAAGATTTAAAGTGCATTCAATGTTTACATGTGTTCCTGAGTTTAGTAATTATAAAAAACAATTAAATTTTGTGATAAAAATTGTATGTGTTGCAGATGGGACAAATATAACAATTATTATCTGACATTAATGTAACATTTTATTTTCAAATCTAAATGAAAATTAATCTTTTCAGCACAAAATAAATAATATTTAAAAATAATACATTGTCAAAAAAAAACTTAATTTACAAATTATTAATTTACATAATATTTATTTGGACTTTTTATTTTAAAATGACACATTTAAACAATATATGCAAATAGATAATTTAGTTTTTTTATATTTTAATTAATATTTAAAGATATGAAAAATTTGTAAAAAAAAGTTTATCATTGAATTGTGAGTACAATAATTTTAATTTCGAGTGCTCATTACATTATGGAAATACAGGTTTAAATTGTATCTTTGACTCTAATCATGGGTTTTAACTCACTATAAACATTTTCATTGTTATTACTATACTGTCTGTAGCATAAACTCTGTAAAAAAGCCATAAGTTCCCACCTCCAATTAAGACCACTTTTCTGTCGTCCCAACTAACAAATGTCTTTATCTTTATTATTGTAAATAGAGACCAAAGCTGTTAAAGACCATGGAAACCCTGGTACCAAAGTGGTCTTTAATTGGAGGGAGACCTGTAAAAACAAATTTCAACCAAACACATTTTTTTTGTAATAAAGGGAATATTAGGTAACTGTGTTAAAAATGTAACTGTGGTAAAAATGTTGTTGTCAGATTCACTGTTCAAGAAATATTTAGCATTTTTAATTATCCCATTAGTAATGCCAAATATGCATTTTTAATTTTTAATATCAAATAACTAAAAAAATATCCATAAAAAAAATTTTTCAACAAACTTTGATATATCTACTTTGAGAATTTGCCAAAATTTATAATAATAATTGAAAATGAAAGTTTAATTTTTATGGACCAAATACTGTGAATGCCCCCAAATAAAAAATGGACTAAGAGATGCAAAGTTTATTTATGACACGCACTGAGTGCATTAAAAGGATTATATTTCTTAGTAAATTAGGGCCTGGAACCAAAGATAAGTGAAGCTATTTGTGTGGCACTACTATGATGTTAAACTATTAATTTTACATTAGGCTGGCGTGACACCGTTGAAAGATAACGATCCTAGGGACAAGATCAAATATGAGATAACAGTTTTCACTGGTGTGAAAAAAAGATCAGGTTTGTATATATTTTGTTATCACCATTATTATTGTTGTTGAGTGTGTCGCACTCGTATTGCAGGTATTGTGTTCGTCGTTGTGTCTTTTTACTGTTACTCATTATTATTACTAAATGTTTGCTGTGTCATTCTTATCATATCCATTATTATTAGTATTGTTATATATTATTGATGTTTAATTCATATCTTAAAGGAAAAGTAGTATATCAGTTGTGGACATAAAAATTGGTGGGAGGGCAATAGGGAGGAAAGGAAGGCACCCCCCAATCTTCAAAATTAACAGTCTGTTGGCAACGACCTTCTTGCACTGTTTATATATCTCTTTACACTTTAGTTTTAATATTACTTTTTACCAACGAGCAGATGTCTAGCCAAAGATGGTAGGTAGGCTGCACAAAATTGCAGTCGGGCTGCTGACCACCTGTGTGTTATATAAATATAAGATATACATTATATTCTCTTTGATGTTGCGATAGACTCTGAAGAGCATAAATAACAAATTTGTTACAAATGTTTTTTCTAGGTACTTCTGCAACGGTGTCCTTTATGATCAGCGGAGATGAGGGTGGAAGTGGAATCCGGGTGTTTCAGGATGAGAAGCGCAAGATCTTTGAGAGGGGTGGCATCGATACTTTCATACTAACTACCAAAAGAACACTTGGTCAGTTGATACACATTAGAATATGGCACAACAATAAAGGCAAGCATCCTAGTTGGTTTCTCAGCCGAATATCTATAAAGGATCTTCAAACAAATCGTGTCTACTATTTCATGCTGGAGAAATGGCTTGCCGTCGAGGAAGAAGATGGACAGGTGGGATTGTCATAATAATTATAATCATAATGATGATGATGACGATTTTTATTTATTAACTTTAATAGGCATAAGGGCCAAGGATTTGCCAAGCACAAACTTAATCACTTTTCTAAATGGCAATCCTTTCACATGACAAGCATACACACAAGACGCTCTATATACACTATCTCATTTTGAGGCTTACACAGTGGAGTTGTTTTGGTCAAGAAAAAAAAAATCTGTTGCTGAATTTGAATTGAACTCAGGATAAACTAAGCTATTTAACTCAACTAGGTAATTGTGATGAGGATGGCAACAACAGTGGCAATACATTAACAATAACAATAATGTCAGTAACAACAAAAATAACATCAACAATAATAACAAAATCAATCACAGCCAACAACAATAACAACATTAATAAGTGTTCATAATAATGTATTTCTGTATAGTGCTTTCATATTCAGATTCACAATGTTGCATTAAAAGATCCCTAATACTGTGTTACATGAAGAAAATTATTGGACATGTTCATATTTATTCAGTTATTAAAAAGTAGACACCCCAATTCATGTTTTATTGATTAAGATTAACGACCGGTTGCCTTTTGGAGCAAAGATTAAATGAAATGAAGACTTGGCACTAGACTCAAATTATATCCTACGCCAATTTTATAATTATACTTTTATAAAGATATCTATTTACATTAAAATGGCCAAACAATTCATTGTCATGTGTATAGTTGCCTAGATAATTTAAGACCAAGTAATTCAATATTATGTGTTCATATTGCCTTGATCATGTCAACCAAATTCCTACGGTTTTCTAGATTATTCCAGGCCAAGTAATTTTGTGCTACTATTATGTAATAGTAGCACACAATTACTTGGCCTGGAATAATTATGTAATAATCGTTTTCCAATCATCTTCTATCTTCGTACATGGTACCGCCACTTCCCACTAAAGCAGGAGCATAACTCTCTTATTTGAGTAACTTCTATTGGCACACACTTTGTTTGTAACATACAGAGCATACTTCCACAGCTCCAGGAGTGGTGCCAGTGGGTGGGCGGGAGCCAGGACCCCCTGTCGGGTAGAGGTGGTCCCCGTCGGGGAGAAGAACCACAATTCGTCGGAGAGAAAAAAAAGTGTAGTATTTTGTACGTATTTGTAGACTCAAAAATCGATTAAATAAGCCTTTGAAACCCTTAAATTCTCATATTTTCGGGGGAGTTGCCCCTCTAGAACTCCCTTGAG